CAGAAAATCATTCATTGCCCGGTAGTTATATGAGAAATACATGAGAAAAACCATATGACTAAATTATGTAAATACGGAAAAATTATTTAAAATAAAAATGAAAAATTTTAGAATTAAAAGGAACAAGAGAGAACACAGTTCTCCTCCATCCATTCTAAGAAAGGCATGAACTACTTATTTACAAAAATGATCTCCATACTTGGTCCTTGCCTACATTTCTAGTTTCATCTTTTGTTGCTTCCCACCAAACTCATTGTTTGAGCTGTTTAGAAATTCAGCACTTTTTATTAACTCACTAAGTCCTTTTATAATTCGGTGTCTCTGAACATATATATTTTCAGTCTGAAATTCACCAGGATGCATCCACACTTAGCAAATTCCTATTTATCTTTTATCATACCGTTTCGATTATAATCACCTATAAACCAATTAATTTAAGAAAAGTTTGACCATATGACTGTTGGATAATTCTAAGCATAAAAACAACTGCAAAGAAATCTTGAACTTTATTTAGTAGGTAGTTAGTTGTTGTATTACTGGTGTAATAATTATATTTTGTGTACTGTAGGATACAGCATATGAATAAATATAACTGATATTGGGGACCAGAGTTATACTGTGGGAGAAGGGAGATACAAATATGGACTAAAGGAAGATGAGTAAGAACCTTGTAGTGCTGGATTTGAATTGGAGGTATCAGTATGAATTTGTTTTTAAAAAATAAAAAAGGTATTGGGACTTCCCTGGTGGTACAGTGGTTAAGAATCCGCCTGCCAATGCAGGGCAGACAGTTTCGATCCCTGGTCCGGAGAGACCCCACATGCCTTGGAACAACTAAGCCAGTGTGCCACAAATACCGGGTCTGCGCTCTAGAGCCCATGAGCCACAACTACTGAGCCCATGCGCCACAACTACTGAAGCCCGCACGCCCTAGAGCCCGTGCTCCACAACAAGAGAAGCCACCACAATGAGAAGCCTGCGCACCGCAATAAAGAGTAGCCCCCTCTCGTCGCAACTAGAGAAAGCCCACGCGCAGCAACGAAGACCCAATGCAGCCAAAAAGTAAATAAAATTAAAATAAATAAATAAATAAATAAAGGTATTCCCTGGTTCTATCCCTGAAAGGACCAATGCATAATGATAAGCAACAGCAGTGAGCACATCTATACCCAGACTTTGGTTTTAAAATTCCACTCTCCACGAAAAAAAGCAGTTCTTGGGCTCTTGGAAAAAAGGTTGATTCCAGGTCTGGAGCAAGAAAAATACAAGGTAAGGCTGGGCATCATATTATGTTTAAGTTAAGGAAGTGTTCAAAGACTAAAGAGTCATGAGAAAGGACACAGGAGCCAGCCACTGGTCAAATCAATTTTAGCTTCAAAAGGAATACTAATGTATTTAATTATTACACATAAAATAAAAAAGAATGCCACGTAACAAATACAGAAGGAGCATTAGAATTTTCAGAAGTGTCATCCTTTTTTGTAGTTCCCAATGTAATAAATATACAGGTAAGGATCATTAGTGGATGCTAACAACAGGGGTGGAAGGTCGTTGACATATCCATAATGTCTCAAAGTATCATCCTGCAGATCATGTACTAATTATAAAGAGGAAAGTAAACCTTTGCAATGGAGTGATATGGCTATCACCACCTTAACCAAGTGATAAAACTTAGCATCACCAATAGTGGGACACCTGATATTACATGCCTCATGAGGTGATGTCATGTAAAGTTCATCTCATTATAGATGGTAATGTGGTAAATACAGATGAAGCATATGAATATTCGCTGTGCTATTCTTTTAACCTACAGATTTGAAAATTTCAAAATAAAAACTTGAGGAAAAAAATCTCAGTTCAGATATATCTTACTGGAAGGTTTTTTTTTTACTTTTCCAGTGGAATTATTTTTTCTATTTTCAGTATTCCCACAGGACCCTTTATATTTCTATTTTAGCACTTAACAAATTTGTAACGGCCTGTTTATAGGTCTGACCTTTTCCCTAAACTCTGCAGAACTGGTCTCATCTTCCTTCCCAGAACTTGGCTCTTTATCTGGCACCTACCAGGTATTCAGTGTTTGTTGTATGAATGAGATAACTGATATGCCAAAGTGACAGGCCAAAACTGAAATGCAAGCATTGTCTATATCAAATTGTGCCTCAAATTTAATCCAATCAATCAAGCAGGAAATCTACCTACCTACCAAACCTGTCTCATTATAATAGATACATCAGCAAATTGACTTAAAAACAAAGCATACAGCCCTCAAGGAGCCTCACCTTTAAGTCATTACAAGCATACTTTCATTTTAAATTCTTTCATTGCTTCAACTCAAGGAAATTAGGGAAGATGCATACCTGTTCTATATCCTTTGAATTGGAGGTCTGGTTTTCTCCCGTGACTCCAGGCTGCTCATTTTCCCATGGTAATTTATTTTTTCCTTTTCCTGCACTTAGTACCCTTCGAGTACAGATAGTTGGACTATAAGATCCATAAATTTGCATGCTATCACTTGTGTGGTCACCACAGTGACAGTGTGCACTCTGAGTTCTGTTACCCGCCAAAAGCCAGTCTGTATCTGCTCCATGTGCCAAATGGCTTGATCTACCCTGGGCAGATGATGGCATGAGTACTGCATACTCCACAAATCCCTGTTCTGTTAACTTTGGGAGGGTTTTCCTAGCCAATCTGGCCTGCACAGCATTCATCACTCCATCTCCATTATCTTGCAGCTCAACAGTATCCACAGCTTTGAAAAGGATGCTGGTTTTACCTGAGCCCATTGATGATGCCAACACAGCAAAGGCTTCAAGAGCTGCTTGGCGTACCCTGCCTTTGCTATCTACAAGAGCTGGAGCAAGATCAAAAGACAGTTTGGATAAGTCAAAATCCTCACTGGGATAGGTCAGGAGGGAGCAGATGCAAATGTTCACCACTTCCTCTCTCACTCTGGAATGCTTATGTTTGAGATGTTCCAGGAGTAAGCAAAGCACCTGTTGAGGACCTACTTCCTTCATTAGCTTGAGGAAGATTTTCATGTATTCTTGTTTGATCACCAACTTGTTGTCTGTCAGCACTTTGACAGAAGCTGCTATAACTGGTCCCAAGAACTGTTGTACCTGCTCTCCAAGACGAACAACCAGCAAATGCAGGACTTGAAGTGTGCCATGGACCACTTTGAAGTTAGAATCGTCTAACAAATTATACATCAAACTAATGAAACTGACGAGGCTAGAATGAGAGGTGGAACTAGGGTTAAAGCGTCCCATCACTTGTTTTAGCTCCTCAATAGCCTGAGTCCGGTTCTTATAGTCTTCCTGATCTAACAACCTTGAATGCAGCTCCTGAGGAATAATCCCAAATTTAAGGTTGCTGTTGGAAAGGGGCACTGCACTGGGAAGGGGATCTTCAGGAAATCCAGAGGCTTCAAGTTCCAAATAATAAGGAACCTGACTTCCAAACTGGGACTCCAGGCGGCGATTGTAGTGTCTCCTCAGGGCAGAAGGCAGGCGAGAGATATATGACTGAAACCTCTCTTGGCCAAGACGCTCCCCAATTTGTTGAAGTGCAGAGAAGGCTGTCTCAGATTCTTCTTCTATCTCCTGACCGCCAAGCTTTCGGGCTAAGGATATTATCACCTCGGTAAGATCTAGGCGGAGCAACAAATCCTCAGGAGTAAGCAGGATAGGGAACAGTAGTGCCGTGGAAGCTCTAAGCCGGGCATCGGTACTTTCCAGTCCTTGTTGTATAAGCAGTCTCAGCACCTGTCCAGAACTACGTTTCAGACACACGTGTAGGATCTGCAGCGCATCTTTCCGCAGGGCTGGATTCTCTTCTCGTAAGGAGACAACTAGCTGAGGCAGAAGTGCTAGGCTAAAGGCCTCTTCCAACTGGCCTGCCTCCCCCTGACCCCGGAGAACGTCCGAGAGGAGCTGCAAGCAGAGTCGCTTCTCATCACTACCTCCTTCCACAAGCACTCGGCCCACGGCCCGATACAATGCTTCCTTTCGTCGGGGGAAGCCAAGTCTACCGCCCCGGCGCGGCAAAGCAGCCTGTAAAGCCTGAAAGGCCTCGGAAGGATCCGGCGCGGTCCGGAGTTGTTGAAGGAGCCGAGTCTCCTCTTCATCTCCCGCTGACAAACCACCTCCAGACCCAGACCAATTACTTGAAATTGCCTCCGCGGGCATCAAGAGGGTCGAGGCCAGAGGCGAAGGTGTCGGGGGGCAGGAACCGTGGTCTCCGGCAGCTCCACGGCAGCAGTAGTTTTTCTCGCCTCTCATGGCGCCCCCACCTCGTCTATCATCAGTCTCTGGGTCGGGAGGACGACTGCGGCTCTGGAGGCGATAGGCACAGAGGGCTGGAAGGGGCGGCAGCGGGAGCAGCGCGAAGGGCGCAGCCGCCATGAAGGGTCGTCAAGTGGCGGAGCCTGTAGGAAACCATCATCTCCGAAGGGCTCGATGGAGCCCAGCGTTCCTATTCTTCTCCAAGCCTCATGCTGCAGAGAAGGAAAAAGAACAGCTTAAGCCCCCAACTCCAGGAGACTGCCTTCGGCAAAATGGCCCCCGTCTGAGCCACATACCCCGCAGCTGCCTCCGGGCGTAACCAGGGGCACCACGTGACCAAACCGATCGCTCCCATGGTGATGTACCCAGCGCGGGCCTCTTGACCCGGAAATCAATCTGCCGTGATGAATGCTGGGTCATGTAGTCCACATCGGAAGATCGGACTAGGCAGAAGGCCCCTGGAAAAGGAAATGAAAACGTTGCGAACGTAATGAGCGAATCTGGAGCGGAGAAGGCGAGGAAGAGAAAAGGCATTAAGGGGAAGTGACGCTCTCCTCGCTCAGGGCGGAAGTTCCCGCCCCACCCGTAAGAACTGGGATTTGACTAAAGGCAAAAGAGGATCTTGCCAGGGTTCCCGTTGTCCACGGCTCCTCCTCCTGTTACTGCGGGCGTGATTCCTGGGACTCAGGTATTTTCCTTTTGCTGTCCTGCGGCGCAGGCTTTGGCAGAGTTCTGCTGGAGTGCCGCTGGTGCTGGAGTAAGATGTAAAGAAATGAACGGGAGCAAGCAGGGAGAGAGGCGACATCTTCTTGTGCAGGGCTCAATCGTTGTAAACGCGTTGCTATCTACAGCCCTAAGTGCGATCCTTTCCGCCTGCCGTCCGCTTACCGGGAAGGGAGATCCGGCCCAAGGCCAAGCTCAGAGCTCGCGTACTTTTTTTCAAATCCTGGTGTTTTAGGCCTTTACTCTCCTCGCCCTCCCCCGCAACCCCCTTTTCCTACTTCGCTTACCCTCCGGTTTTGGAGGGTTAATGGTTTTCTGTCAGTGGTTTTCTGTCATTTTTCCTTATCCTCATCACTTTAAGTTCTCTTTGAAAACGTACTTGATCTGGAGATAAATCTGTTTTTCCTTGTAGCTAACCTTCTTTCCCTCATAGGTTCTCAAAGTCTAATGCAGTTCCTCTGTGGGACTCACCCCTTCCCCTCTCCCGCTCCCTCCGCAGCCCCAGCCTCCCTGCAGGATCCTCCCGCGTCTCTGCAGCCTTTCAGTATCCTGGAAACCGAGATTGCAAAGAATTTCAGTTGCTGTTGAAGTTCTTGGCCTCACGGTCCTAAGAGAATTCTGCCCTGTAGATTTAGAGTTGATAATAGACGTTTCTTTGTTTTAGGCGAACTGTGAATTTGGTGAGCATTTTTTCCTTCTTGTAATTAAACTTAAGCGGAAACAATTGAAGAGCTGGAATGCCTGGTGTGAGGCTGAGTTCTTTGGAGTGTGGAAGAAAATATTTTGGGGAAGGAATAATACAGTTGCTTTTGAATGACCCAGTGAGAAAAGTCTGTTATCATTTGAAGTCCACAATTTATGCACTTAAAATGCAAGTGTTCCGACCCTGTTCTGTACCACATGTCTCTTAAATACTTTTTTAAGTCTTAGCATACCAAACCTCTTTATAAATAATTTTTGCTGGATAATGGAAGTTCAAAAATAACTTCTGGGTGTTGTCTTAAAGCACAATTTGATTATTATAGGTTTCTTTTCTTTTTCCCCTTTCTTTTGGGAGTAGAGTAAATGTAAATGGGGCTTGTGTAAACATGCATCCTTCTGTTTTGGTTTAAGTTCTAGGTTGTTACTTTGATTTTAATTAGTCATTTTGGTGTTTAAATGAATCTGCCTAAATTTGGTTTAACTAAAAAGAAAAAAAATTTTTTTTTAAAATTTTAGAGGCAGGGTAAGGGCAGGGGAGTGAAAACCAAGAGATGATTTTAGAAGTTGTCAATGAGAAGGAATGTCTAGTTCTCATATTTCCAGCGTAAAAAGTTCAAATTTATACTTTTACTCATGTATGCTCAGACTTCAGGAACTCAATTCAGACTTAACTAAAAGAATGATGTACCTATCAGAATGTACACATTAGAATGCCAGTTTATGTTGGAATATAAACATATATTCCATATATCCATATTCCATATATCCATATGTTGGATAACCCTTTCCAGTAATCAGAATTTTCTGGTTGAAAATCCAGTGCACTCTTTCCTGTATGCAAGAACTTGGGAAGTTGTGTGGTAATCGTGGAACAAAGAAAGTGAACTTGGAAAGTCCTGAATTATATATCATCATCAAAATTATGGTAGAAGCTTAAGAATTACCCCTTCTCTCTATAAAGAATACTTTTTCAAGGGGCTTGGATACTTAAATCAACTAGTTATATCCTTCTCCTTGGAACAAAGCACGGTGAGTTTTCATTTTGACCCCTTTTCTCAGGGCCCTGTAGATCACTATGTTATAGATTGCAGTCTATTTTATACCTGTTACCTTTAATTTCCTTGATGAAGACTTGGAAGATGCATTAGTCTTCATGGTGGATGGGACCAGGAAATGGGACCTTATCAGCATCCCATATATTACTATCTTTTAAAGTTATTTTGTGGAAAATAAATCTCATCCAATTAATGTATATTCTGTTTATTTCTATTATGAAGCAGATTTTTAAAAAATCTTATTCTTGAATTCTAGGAATTGTGTACTAACTAGAAAAGTCTTTTATATTTAACTATATAGAGAGGTAGTATAAAAATTTTTAAATCAAATTCCAGAACAGTGGAATACGCTATTAGGTGTATTAATAGTACACCTCTGAAAGTTGAAAGGGAGTAATTAAGAATACATTGAAAATAGCAAATTCAGATAAAAGAAATTAAAATAATAATTTCAAGATAATTTCAGTAAGTTCAAGAAAGTTTACTTAAATTAATTGATTAGTTAGTTAAGGAATGTTTCTGATACATACCTTAATTTTTTGAGCTGAAGTTAAGGTAAACACAATTGCCCTAAAAGCATCCTTTATTTCCACAGTCAGAATAAAATATTAATTGGTTGGATGAACCACTATAGTTTTTTCCTTGTTCTTACTCAGATTTTACAGACATCAAGGAATATTGGAAACCAGTTTGAATTCTGTAAACTGTTAAGAATTTTGTATAGTTTAAGAAATTATTGTGAAGAATTGCTGTGGAAATGAAAGGTGCTATTAACATTAACAAGTAATTATAATTACACTATTATTTGAGTGTTTGCTGCGTGCCATACACTTTGCTGGGTACTTAATGAATATTAACTCATTGAATCCTCACAACAAATTTTTGAGGTTACATCATCTACATTTGTACTGTGGCACATTTTGTGGGTGTTTGCATCAGAAAGTAATTACTCAAATGAGTCAATTTAGCTATTTGCTTAGAGCTTTGGAAAACTTTTGGTGGGGGAGAGTGTTGAAACTATAGGATAAAATTAGATTTTTCCATCATTAATCACTCATATCTATTATTATGTATTATTTGATTATATGTATTTTAATCTTCGTCTTTGGGTTTATGTTCTGAACCCTTTTGGTTTCTTGTTTGAGTCACAACTTTAATAAGGTTAAGAAATTATGAGCTTATTTTTATACATGTAGGATTAAACAGTTTTTCTTGATGTGTATCAGTTTTATATTTCATTTACTTAGGTTTATGCTCCAAATCCATTGTGCATTTCTGAGTCAAAATGCTACTTTTAAACAAAAAAAATTTTTGGTTGCATTTTAAGCACTAATCTGTTTGTTAACAGGATTTCACATTTTTTGTAACCAGTTTTTCAGTAGATGGTTTAATTATGTAACTTAGAGCTTTTAGTGGATGTAGTAATGGCTTTGGGGACTTGCTTTCTTCTGTGTTATTTTGGATTCTATGATATAATGACTGGTATTATAACAGGCTTCTAATTTTACTTTTGTTTCTCTAGATATAATGAAAGTCAATCTCAGAGAAAAGGAAAATATGCCAACTTGTTCCATAGGCTCACTGTCAATATTATTATGCCATCATTAGTTGAATTCTTCTGTGAGGAAAATTGAACTGTGGGAAAGAAATTTAAACAATTCTTATTTCTCTTGACCATTTATTTGCTCTCTTTGTAGCAGATAATTGCCTCCCAGCTGATTTCAGCACCACTGTTTTGTAGCTTAGGTGTCAATTAAGTATACTAACTCACAACTTGACCTTTAATAGCTTGATTTCAGAATCTAAAATTGTGAAGCTGCTGTAGACTATGGAATGTTTGATTTTATTTTAAACTTATCTAATGTTATCTTTATATTGTGGATATTTATGTAATAATGTGATTAGAAGTGAAGTACAATGCTATTACCTTTTTAAAACTTTTCAAATGGATACCATTTATTCAATTTTGACTAATCAATCCAGTTACCTGGATTTAGAGTACTCCTAAGTATTTGTTTTATGGTACCAAAATTAAAAACAAAAAAGTATGGCAGGGATGTGGGGGAAGAAGAATCAATCCTACTATTATATAAATAACAGAAGGGAATGATTGTTCCATGGACCTCTCTTTATTTCATTTTAAAGCTCTGATGTATTCTTGTATCTGATCAACATAGTGTGTGTGTGTGTGTGTATTTTATATATATGTATATGATCTGTCCTTTTTGGGTTTCTGTTCTGTACCTTTCTAGTTTCTTGTTTGAGTTAAAACTTGAATAAGATTAAGAAATTATGAGTTTTGGGGCTTCACTGGTGGCGCAGTGGTTGAGAGTCTGCCTGTCGATGCAGGGGACACGGGTTCGTGCCCCGGTCCGGGAAGATCCCACATGCCGCGGAGCGGCTGGGCCCGTGAGCCATGGCCGCTGAGCCTGCGCGTCTGGAGCCTGTGCTCCGCAACGGGAGAGGCCACAACAGTGAGAGGCCCGCGTACCGCAAAAAAATAAAAAATAAAAGAAATTATGAGTTTATAAGTGAGGCAGTATAACATAGTATTTAAGAACTCTGGAGACAGAGTGCAAAGGTTTAAATCTTGCTTTGGGCTTAATTTCTCTGTGCCTCAGATTTCTTCATCTGTTATATGGGGATAATAATAATAACGGTGCCTATCTCATGGTGTTACTCTGAGGATGAACAGAGTTAATACATGTAAAAAGCTTAGAACAGTAGCTGGTACATTATGGCAATCAAAGATATTCTAGATGCTCTTTATAGAATAATTTAGTCTTATCAGGAATAGCAACAATTATAAATTGGTTCAGTAAATATTTTAAGCAGGTCAACACTGATCAGCATTGTAATTTTTTTAATGTAATATGTAAAGAACATTGTTCTAAGGTTAAGAAAACATTATAGTCCCAGTAACGTCTTAACTAATTGTGTGATCTTGTTAATTCATCTAAACTCTCTGAACTTCAGGTTCTTCATCTGTAAGTCTTATGTGAAGTTTAGTGCCATATATTTTTTTCTTTATTTCTTTTTTCCTGTACAAAATCTCATAAACATGCAATTGTAGAATAATGTAATGAACCCTTATGTACCTGTCACCCAGCTTCAGCAGGTATCAACTCATGGCATCATATCCATTTCTATCCAATCCCTCATCCTATATTAATTTGAAGCCAGTCCCTGACATCATTTTATCTACCGATATTTCAGTATGTATTTGTAAAAGATAAAAACTCTTAAAAACAAAACTATGGTATTACTGTTCAACAACAAAGAATAAAATAACAGTGATTAGTTAATATAATCAATAATACAGTCAGAGTACAAAATTCCCAGTTGTCTCCTAAATGTTGTGTGTATGTGTGTGTATGTATATGATATGTGTGTGCATGCACCTGTATGAATCACAGGTTGTATTTGGTTGATAATGTCTTTTAAGTTTATAGTAATCTGTAGGTTCATTTTCATCCTATTTCTTTCCATTTATTTGTTGAAGCCGTTATTTATGCCATAAAATTTCTCACAGTCAGGATGTTTTTGCTGATTGCATCCTTCTGTTATAGTTTAACATGCTTTTTCTGTTTTCTTTATTTCTTATAAATTAATAGCTGGATCTAGTCTGTTGACTACATGTTTGATTTTGGGGTGTGTGTGTGTGTGGTGAGTGGGAGTATGCAAAAGTATTTATAGGTGGTATTATGATCTTCCATCAGAAGACCTTGATGTCTGGTTGTCTCTTTGTGACATTAGCAGCCGTTCATAATCAATGCCTACTTCTATTAATTCATTAAGATTGTAAAATGGTGATACTCTACCATCCCTTCTTTAATACCTGGAGTACTTTTATAAAGAAAAACTTATCCTCATCTATTTGGTAACCCAGTGGTACATTTGTTATAGGAAAGGCATGATAAATG